TTCACACAGTCTGCTGCTTTACCGTCAGCGTGCAAACTAACGATTAACGCCTTTATAAAACAACGCACCTTCATTTGGAATTTTGTGTTGCACTCGCTGGAGAAGTGTCTACACTTAGCGGGCGTGTTGCTCATTGTGACCGGGTGATGAATGGCCGTACTGGGGGAGATGGACAAAAATGAGGAGCTGGGGCTTTCAGTTTCGGGAAGGATTTGAGGGGCCAACAAACGAGAACGCAGATCTTTTACAGAAAACTCAAGCTATAAGAGGATAAACCTTAGTAAATAAATATCCATACTGCGCATTATACGTATGTAGATATACCTCAGCGATGTAGTAGACAAAAATACGCGTAACGCGATGTTTATCACAGACAATCACTTTTACATCACCGTGATTGGGTATATACAAGAATTTTTCCCATGTCCTATCTGTACGTATAGGTTTTGACCATTTCAATGTCTTTTTCGTTGCGTTTTCTGAAACACAACAGCGCGTATAATTGTAAGTAAGTTAAAGCCAATGACTACTGCACCTAATTACCTTTGTATAACGCTAAGGTAATATTGCACGTTGTGGACTCGACGTCAGGAAAACTGGTATAAAGCTCCGGTGGCGTGTAGTAGCATTTACTGTAGGCTGGAACCTGCTGATACCATTCAAAGTGGCGTCCGTTATATTCTGGCGTAGTATTGGAAACTTTGCTATTCTCGGAGGCGCTCGTTTGTGCAATGATGAAGGGTACATCTGTTTGATTGGTCACCAAAATTGCCGGACTGTTATCTTCGAAAATATTCAAATAGTAAATGTGATCCTTCTCGATGAGTGTAACTACCATTGGCAACGATTCCTCCCCGTTTTGTAGCGCGAAACTGCGCCGCGTAAAAGGCATACCAAGCGCAATGGGTATTGAGAGGTCAGAGCTTTCGGGCAATTTTAAGCTGACAAAACACACATAAGCTGTGTCCTTGGTGCGTTTGGTTTTTTTATTTGGCCTAAAGTCGTGGAATGAGTCCATTGTGCGCCCAATGCTGGCGAGGATAAGAAATACATACATACATAAGTATAATCATAATAATAATAATAACAATAATAATAATAATAATAGCTGCGTTTTTTTACACGCATATATTTACTAGAGCTCTCGATTTTGTTCGCACATTTTCAAACAGCCCGGGTATATGAGCAGCGAGTATTCGCACACTTGTTCAATGCTCATTACTCGAAAATTTTCGAGCATGAGCTCGAGCAATTCGAGTTTTTTCGAGTAATTTGAGCAATGTTTTTTTATACCCGAGCGCACTTGTGCACAAGGGTATTATAACTTTGTTCACATAACGGTTGTTTGTAACAGGCAAAACGAATCGAGATAGATATAGACAAATGTATACATAAATGATCAGAATGAAAAGTGAAATCGATTAAGCGGTGACTGTCTGTCCGTCCGTCCGTCCGTCTGTGCACACGATAACTCGAGTAAAAATTGAGATATCTTAACGAAACTTGGTACGTGGACTTCTTTTGGGCACAGGACGGATGGTATTGAAAATGGGCGAAATCGGACAATAACCACGCCTACCTAACATATAAGGGTAATTTTCAGAAATACGAAGAGTGCGATATTTTAGTAACTACTGAAGATAATTCGCTCAAAATTGATATTTGCAATGAGTTTTAGACGAAAAATAAGAATATTAAAAAATTTTGGCAAATGGGCGTAGCCACGCCTACTTATGGTTACATGTGTATATCTTGGTAACCGCTACACCAATTTCTTCCAAACTTGGCACAGTTGTTGGTCCTGCTACAACATACCAAATGGCCGAAAATTTTTAAAATCGGACAATACCCACGCCCACATCCCATATAACGGTAATTTAGAAAAATACGAAATCCTCGATAAATCAGTAAATATTAAAGCTAATTTATTTAAAATTGATGGTTGCAACAATTTTTTACCAAGAAATACGCTTATGAAACAATTTTGGAAAATGGGCGTGGCACCGCCCACTTATGATCACATACTATATGTATCTCGCTAACCGTTCTAGCAATTTGAACCAAACTCGGTATGGTTATTGTGCTTGCCACATAAAAGCAAAGCGTTGAAAATTATTGAAATCGGACTAAAATTACGACCGCTTTTCATATAACGGTATATTTCAGAAATGCTTGAAACTGCAATATTTCGAAATTTAAGGACGCTAATTTACTTAAAATTTATACACCCCGGATTATCGTGTAGCGGTAGCTTTCGGAAAGGTGGAAAACATATATTTAATAATTGCGCCGGGTATTTAATGTTCGGCTCCGCCCGTACTTAGACTTTCTTACTTGTTTATTATAGGTTCGTTCGCGTAGCTGTTAATTGTTCATGTTTAACCAAAACTTACAAGTTTTTGCGTTCGCGTACGCAAAAAAACTTGCAAAGTAGGGGAAATTGAGAGAGCAAACTGACATTTCATTTTGAGGGGAAGCTGCTGGTTTCTGCTG